GTTCTAAAAATTTGGTAATTTCCTTCTTGATCTCATCTTTGACCCATCTATCATTCAGCATAAGGTTATTTAGCTTCCATGTTTTTGTATGAGATGGCAAATTCCTGTTGTTCCGGGGCTTGGTTTGAACCCACCACCTTCGGCATATGGAGCCAATACCCTACTCCTTTGAACCACAGGCACCGCCCTTTATAAGAGTTCTAAGTGAGATAATATGTGTACAAGCACAGAGCAAAATAAGAACGCTAGTATTAGTTACCACTGTGAGTGCGTTGTAGACAGTGTGAAGATGAGTGTACGAGGTAGAGTACTTCCTACTGTCTTTGGGCTCATCTCTGGTTGAGTTTCTGCTGTCTTTTCAAGACCTTTTACACTCTCCAAGAACCACAGACCCACCTGCCTCTCTGGTCCTAAGAGATGGTGGGAAGGCCAATTTCACTATTAATTTCCCTTTTCTCCACTCAGTCCATTTTGTCTTAGCCTGGCCTCCTCTGCTGTTTCCCAGGACATAGGGCCTCACTCCTTCCCAAGGCTCCACCTCTTTTGCACTGTTGATTCAACAGTCTTTTCAAGTTCGCAGCAGGGAGACTCTCCAACTATGATAAGCCCTTTCCTCTCGGTCAGCTGCAGTAGTTCCATCAGCTCCTCCTCCCAGCCTCCAGCCATGCTCACTCTTCTCTCCACGGTGCAGAGCCAGCACTGCCCACTTCTCTCCTTCCTTCCATAAACTAAACTCCCCCCTGTTGGATTTTCACCCATTTCTTCTGCTGCAGCAGCTGGTTTGATGGCCATCAGAGAAGGAAGTTTTTATCCATTTTGTGCCTTGGGATTCTGAGTTTAGCTTTGGTGTCAGGTTGCTCTCTCTTTCCTGATTGCACCTTCTCAATCTTTGCTCAGGCTATCCCTCTATCTCGTAGGTCTCTAGACTTGGTTCGTTTGGTTTCCCACACTTCGCTTCCTCTGGACAGCTACTCTGAAGCCTTCAAGCCCATGGTTAGTCATTTCTCTGCAGGCCATTCCTTGACCACCCTCCTGAGGGTAGAACTTCCAATCACCTTTTGAAAATCTCATGTCATTGCCTTTTCTTCATTTTTCATCCACTCAACCCATTCTGAGTGCCACTGAACATGTCTAAAACCTTCTAGCTGCCTCTCTCCATCCCCACTGCCACCTGCATTTTGTCCTGTCCTTCTTCTGGATAAATGACATCTTAATCGCTGCACCTGAAAGAGGATCTGAGCAGTCCTCTTCAGAGGACTGATTTCTAATCAACCCCTGAGTCAGTTTGTCTGTATACGTGGGATCCTGTTATTTTCTCTTAAGAAGATGAAAGCTAGGCTCAGCGCCTATAGCTCAACCGGCTAAGGCGCCAGCCACGTACACCTAAGGTGGCGGGTTCGA